TCATCTGAATAGCTTGGGGACCCATTCATCCGTCTTAAATAGCTTGAAGACCCATTCGACGGAATGGTCCCTAATCTTTTATATGAAATCATAATCGAGGCTTCATTCCCACAAATCGCATATGTCAAGATTTCCATCAGTTGAATGCCAAAGTGAAATTGTTCCAAATCGACCTCCAAATCGAAAACCCTCCAGATTTATAATAAATCTAGATTCATCCCAGAAAAAGAGCAATCAAATTGAGCCATAATAGTTGATAATGAGGAATAAGAGTGACTCACAATGTCGTTAAATGGTTGGCAACTGTAATGTTGATGAAGAAAATCGTTGGTTGAAGTAGAAGAGGGACCACAAGCAGGTATATTTTTAAACTTTTTGGATGTAATGTATAATATTGTGTTCATAACCTTTATCTTTATATCAGTAATTGATGAATTTATTGGCTCTTTGTTGATGGCCACGTTATTTCACGTTCTTAGAAGAGGAACCATGTTTTTTTGTATTTTTTCGGCACTTTTTAATGAATCTTAGCCTGCTATATAAGTTTGTCCTCCAGTATTTATTTAGTTCGTCATTTACAGTGGGCATTTAGGTACTGCAATGGCTGCTGAGTATTAATTGTTTATATTCTAACCATTTTTAGTTAGTTCATCATTTACAATGGGCATTTTTAGGCTGCATCATCATATTTATTTGCTTTATATTGAGGATTTGGGCTTCATGACGATGATATGATCCATTTCATTGCCTGAAAATTTCTCAGGTTATATAATGTGTTGACCATTCCATTTACCTGTTCAATTGTAGATAACAGACTTGAAGAAGATGAAGTGGAACCTGATGAATACAAATTGGCCGATTCATAAGACGATGTTAATGACAATGATTTTTCATTACGATAAGAATGAAAATGCATGGGTTTTGGTCTTTCAATCTGTTGACTGTTTGGGATGAAAGGACAACCATAACCCAAAAAAAAAAAAAAAAAACAAAAGGTTGTTCAGGGAATAGTTCCATATGCACCACCACGAATAAAGAAAAATTAGCAACGCAGTAGAACATCATTGTTGTTTGATGTCTACAATTTAGATCATGAAGATGATAACTATCTTTTGAATTAATGTTCTTTTGTTGTAAATCTGACTGAAATTATGTTTTGTTGATGTACAAACGAGTCTAATTATGCTTAGTTTATGGTTGAATGAAATTTCATATTTTGGTGTATGGTTGAGTGAATTGGAAATTTGGAATGCATGGTGTATAAAATT